ATAATTCAGTTTTTGTTACAAATGTAGTCGTGTAAATGTTGCCTAAATTAAAAATACATTTAAGGAAATGTAGGAAGCTTTATGGCTCCATTGTAAGTTTATTTAAGCATTACTGATCCTTTTTATGCAATAATAATGTAATACTGAGTTGATATCATGTTATTTTCAATCTGGGCTACTGAAGTTCAGGCTGAAGCCTCTGGACTTATGAGTAATTGTAAGTGATATAGTATCATAACTAGTGTTGTTTTGGTATGAACATTTGTTTTGGTTATAGTTTTAGTTATAGTTTGAATGGTCACTTTTCTTTTAGTTTTAGTATTAGTTTTAGCTTAATTCTTCAATCCTTTTTAGTGTTAGTATTAGTTTTAGTTTGAAACTTAAAAAATGCTTTAGTTTTAGTTTTAGTTTAGTTTCAGACTTTGATTTTCTTTTAGTTTTTAGTTTTTTCCTATCAGAAAAAATTTAGTTTAGTTTTAGTATTTAAGAAAAGTTTTAGTTTTAGTAAAAATTTGAGTAAATATATTCCATACCACTAGCCATGTTCTAAAATTACAAGCGCAATGTTGTAACCATGGGTAAACCAGGTGCATATAACATGTGCATGCATGACCTGTAACTAACTAAAAGATATTTTGGTTTATAACATGTAATTGTATTAGTTTTAATTTTTTTGAAAACATAATTCACTTTTAGTTATAGTTTTAGTTCAGTTCTTTTACTCTGTTTAACTTTTAGTTTTAGTTGTAGTTTTAGTTTAAACCTCCAATGACTTTTAGTTTTAGTTTTAGTTTTAGTTTACTAAAAGTAAAATGGCTTACTAAAAGTACTTTTAGTTTTAGTTATAGTAAACCAAAACAGCACTAATCATAGCTATAGGACATTTGGGGTGATTTTTAGCCATTTTATAAGAAAAAACTATGGGCTATAATAGCCTTGGGTACTTTTCAGAAATTGGCCAATTTTTTAAAATGGCCATTGCTCAAAAAAGTTTGTTGGAATGAACTCAAATTTTGTACACAACATAAATACATCAATGTGTAGCAA